CTCGAAATGGAAGTAATCCCAACAATTATGAAACAGGAGATTCCTCGAAACCCAACTTTTCTTCGTATAATTATTAGTAGATGAGTTTGAGAATGGACGTGGTCCGTCAAGTAAAGGCTTGATTACGAGAGCATTTTAGGGCACATGCTGAACATTTTGAAGCGAATCTGCAGCCTCAAGTTAGGTTTCCATGCTAAGTGACTTGCTCAGTGAGGCTGGCGTATAACGTGCTACCAGAGGCTTGAGTCAGAATGTAGAACATAACACCTCGAGTAGCAGGAATATGGTGGAAGCGATCAAATGAAATCACTAAAACAGACAGATAAGAGAAGAATCCTTCGGAGCCAGAGGGAAACTATGATAGGACCTACTGCGTGAGGATTGCAGACTAAGCGGCAGCTTGGATGAACACTCCCAGAACAGTGATGGGATGAGTGGACCAGTGGGGAGTGCGACTAGGTCTCACTAAATCCGGTTAAAAGGGCACACGTCAACTAGGCTTAGAAAAGCAAGAAAGAAATTATGATAGTGAAGTCGTGATACGAGGACATAGGATAGGTGAATACACCGGAGAGATACCACAACTCTTCAGCAAACAATTGCTCAAAGGATTAATTCCACTTGTCTCTTTGAAAAATTGTGATGTGGTGCTAAGAGTGGCAAGGATCACTGACTATGCTGGTTATCTGAATTTGTTTGTGCAACTTGGTTATATTGACAGGAAGACCTAGACGAAAGGCCCTTCTTCGGAGTCCATGGAACAAATGAACAAAGAAGACAATTTGTAGTGCTAAGAATGGCAAGGATTATTGGCGATGCCGAATACGATGCCGGCGAATCGTCTGGGAATGCGCCAAATCCACGGTTCGACTCTGGAAATTATAATACATGCTATTGGTTCGTTTAGGTCTTCCTGCCAATATGACCAAGTTGAGAAAAGAAGGTAAACCAACTACTATACAACGAAAGGAGACAGGACCATACTAAAGGTTATACCATCTTGGTCTTCTTACCTTCGATATTCCGTCTTTGCAATAAGTTTAAGAAAGTCCCCTGAACTAAGGGCTCTGGATAACATTCGTTTTAAAAAAATAATGAGGTTGACTTGTCGTGCTAGCAACTTATTGGTAGTTGTATATAATGACGAATTCCGAAAAGAATACGATAATCCCCTGATGTCTAATGTGACTTGACTTTTCATTTCGCTAGAAAATTTGGTTGTTCTGGAATTTTCAAGCGTTTTGAACAGTAAAATTTCAAACGATCTATTTTGTCTTGGAAATATGCCCCTTTACAATGTAGATACGAAAAGAAACTGGGTTTCAAAAAATCTCCTGAGATAAAATCGTTGGGGGAAAAGTGTATGAAGAGATTCGTTGGTCGATCTCAACGGATGAAGACGGATAAATCCCGTTGTACTGCAGCCGTATGACTTTTATACGATGTTCAGGTTGATGCCGTCCGCGAGACTTCCTCCCTCATTTCGGGTGAAAACGGGCTGAGCTTTCGTCCATCATATGATGGGCATCATCAGAGCTGGGTGTCATTCCTGTAAGTCTCACGTCAACACTAGAACAAGAAGATTATCTGGCTCTATTTTATCTCTTATATAGACTCAATTAAGCCAAAATAAAAAAACTAGATAGATATAGAGTGGTTTGGCTAATTATCTTTCATACTGGTCCTGCTACCTTTGCTACCTTTGCAGCCAAACGGCTGCAGTACAAGAGGATTCATCCGTCTTCATCTGGTGAGATCGACCAACGAATCTCTTTTTTATGCACTTTCATACGAAATGAAAGTCCCCCCAACAATGCCACTTTATAGTTAGGATACAGGATAAATTATCAGGCCTAGTTTATTGCTAACCAAAAATGTTCTGGATTACTGTTCTTGATTTATGTTCTGGAACTTTTACTAATACGTATCGAAAATTCCATTTTTATTCGGACTGGACTGCAGTTTCGACTTTTCTCCTTCGTCTGCAAATCTAGAGGTATTTAAGTGTAAAAAACGGGTAAAAGATGCAAACAAATAACTGCCTAGACCATAGGACACTAGCCACATTGTGCTACACGTGAAGCATGACGTTAAAAGCAGATTATGCCTTTAACAATTCCCCCCATTTTGCGTTACTCGGTGCAAAATAAGCAATGCTCAAAATTCTATAAATTGGCATGTATTACGCTTCAAATGCCCATTTTATCATTTCTCTCGCAGTAAGTAATTAAGTCTTATTCTGGAGTTATAAGTTTATACTAGTAAACTCTGAGTTTTGTAACTACATAATATACTTTATGCTATTAGCTAATATTTAAGGCAAACAAATAAAGATGGTAAAATTATTCATTGATTGTAGACTCCTTCTTTAAATATAGAGAAGTCTAGCCGCTTTAGCCATGAAAATTTGGAAATGGATAAAGTGTGAAGCAGCAAAGAGTCAGATGTCCCTCGAAGGCTGTAAGTGTAGCTCTTCAGTTAAGTTGTACTTCAATTAAAAAAAGGGATGAGTAATAGATGAAGTTGATTGTCCGCCGGCTCTATGGTTTTATTTGAAGATTGAGGCAATTAAAGTCGGCTAAACTACCAGAATTGTATTTTTTCCAGCAAACAGGAGACAAATTGGGAATTGTTATATTGTCTGAAAATGGTTATTGACTCCTTAATTGAGAGCAGAACGCTTAGCCTACTGGAAAGTAGTTTTAGGCTTTGCTGGTATATCAATCTGATAATGGACCATAGACAGGTTTATAAATGTTGCTGGATGCAATGCCCACTTTTACACACTTAATCAACATATTCTGGTTACATGCAATAAGCGATTATGTATACAATTTCTGTACCCGCCAACCTTGTTTATAACGCTTCAGCCAGAATGGAATTCGCCTCATTTTAATCTCAAGCCATTCTATTTGTGTGTGTGCCATTATTCCAGTTCTACCAAGATTCAATGAGAGAAAATTAGGTTTAACTAAGACCACCTAATGGATTCGACTATTTATCTGTCTAATCCTGATTAACGCATTATACCTAATGAATATATCCATTGACAAAGTTTTGTTCATGTAAAATGCTGTCTACATGGTAGCTGGAATGACTTTGTCGAGACAAGACATGCGAATTCTTCAACCAACCTGTATGTGGGTACCAAGATGATTCGAACGGCTCGTCTGGCCTCGGAAGCATCTGGGCAGGCCAGTTGTTACTCTGTCCGTGACCGTCTGGCTGAGAAGGCCTTAGTCTTGAAGCCAGACAATCGGTCGCTGGAGGACATAGAAGAGCAGAATTAGGTGTCTGATGAAGTAGTTGATCACTTTCAGACAGTGCAGCTGCATGACAATAAGCTTTGTCCCACATGCAGGATTCAAGAGTGGAGGAAGCCATCGAGGCATCGACTGCACCGGAGGCATACGGGCGTCGACTTGAGATTCCGGAGCCAGCTTTGCCTAGTCCAAATCCAGACTCATGTAGACTATTGGCATAAGTAATAGACGAGGCGAACATGCCCAGAGAGGCGGGCACAGAAACCAGTTGACAGGAGGCCAACAAATCGGCAGATGGCAGAAGGCTGGAGTTCGCCTCAGCACTGGGTGCCCCAGATCCGAAGCCAGACCTATCTGAGATCGTCTGTTCTGACAGTAATTTGGGCCTCGGACGAAATGACATACAATTCAGTAAGCCCTGGAAACAGGCACAAAATGGAGTGGAACAGATCATCTGCAGAGTCGAAGTCCGGACCGGAGTGAGCTTGGCCCCTTCCGGTATCTGTGAAAGCGGTGGCGGTGACGAGGTGAGGCTGCCAGTTGACATTGGCCACCAGAAGAGACTGGGAAGCAGGCCAGAGTTGGAGGTTTCAACCGTCCTTGCGGGTCCACAGGCAACGGAGGCGGTGGTAAAGAGACCGGGTGACCAGCGTTGCTTGCGACTGCGACGCCGTGCCGTGGACAGAAGTAGGCAGGCAAGACAGACAACTAAACTGAGGGCCAGCAGCCCGATCAGAAGAAGGAACCACCAACTCTGATAAAACAAAGTGTTCGGAGGTTGCACTGCCGGAAAAAGCGAATCGAGTAGGTGATAGAGAAAGCCATTAAAACATAGCCAAATTTTAATTGAAAAAGTGGAAGAAGCAGAGGTTTTGGTGTTGGGGATAAATTAATAATATATGAAATGTATTCACCTTATTTCGTTCCTCTTGAATTTCACAGCATTCACATATCCTTGCTACCCATCAGGTATTCTCATCTAGGCTAAGTGAAATTCAATGGAAACGTGAGGTCTACTCATATCATTGTGAGGAAATTCAACTATCATTTCTTCCTCACCTTAAACAGAAGAAGGGTGAAGAAAATTAGTATATATGATATACTGGTAATATCTAAAACCTACCTACGAACGGAAGATAAATAGAAAAG